TTTTTTTCTGTGATTGTTACGACAAATGGTGACAAGATGGCCAAACGTCTTTTCTGAAAACTTGAAGAAAAGAAACTCAGATTAGTATTTTTTTTTTTTTAGATACTAAAAATTTTTGTGAGATGAACAATTATCCCATGATGTTACACGATTTGAACAGTTTTGCTGTTACACTCAGTTGTCCAAAGATCACATTTACTCTTGCTACACAGAAGGTAGCTGAAGACGCAAGTGTGTCATCTCGCTAGATTTATTCAACCTTTATAGCGAGGCATTCCTAAGTGATCGAGAAGGCTTACCAGAATTTATTATAAGCTAGCAAAATCTTAACAATAAAAGGTACACAGAAGTCACTGTGTTCCAAGTGGACATAGCGGGGTGCGGGGGGGTACAGGACATCTTAGAAAAATAGTGTAGGAAGGCGCCAAAAAAAGAACTATCAATTGTAAGAAGACATAATGTGTGATTGTTAGCAAGAGAGAAATCCCAAGATGGCAACTACAAATTGAAGACGTCAAGATCAAACAAGTACAGATGTGTAAATATCTGTGAAGTGTTTTAACAAATGACGGAATATGTGACACCGAAATCCGAAGGGGCATTGAAAATGCAAAAATGCCTTCCAAAAATAAAGAAAGTATTAAGAAACAGAAAAGTTTCGTTAGAATCAAAGAAAAGGGTGCTGAAATGCTATGCCATCTATGGTTGTATATGGACACGTAGACATGGTGTAATGGTTAACAAGCTAGTCTCGCTAGATCAATTACGACTGAATATTGATTTCATCTTCACTGAGTGCTCCGTACTTTCGTCCTTGTGCAACATCTAAGCTACGGTTAGAAAATTATTAGTTCACCTTGACGTGGTGTAATGGCTAGCAAGCTTGTCTCGCTAAGTTAATTACGACTGAATAGAGCGTTACACCCGCACTGGCTGCCCCATACTTTCGGCCTTGTGCCACATCTAAGCTGCGATAATAAAACCACCATATATGACCGTGTATGCTGAACAATTTCCTGATAGATGAAGAGGAGAATTCAGGCAATAGAAATGGGGTTCTACAAAAGGAAGCTGAGAATACCAGTGACGAAGCATGTAAGCAACGAGGAAGTTTTTAAAGAAAATGGAGGAAAAAAACACTTATACAGAGAAGCAGAAAGAGACGGCTGGAATTTGTAGGGCATGTAACGAGGAAAGACGCCCTGTGGGGACATACTAAAGGCAAAAGGAGCAGAGGGAAAGCAACGAGTAACTGACATATCGTGCTTGTGTAAATGGATGCCAGAATAGGGATGGGAACAAGAATAAAAAGACAAATATTCGTACTGTTGCAGTTTTTTTTGTGTATACTATGTAACTAGTGAGCTATACCAAATGACTTGACTCACTTTATAGTCCACCAATAGAAGGTTAACCAATCAGAAGACGTAGAATATTCAATCCGTCGTGTATAAAGGCGGCCATTTTGCTTACTCTATCCGAATGTCCAGTGTCAGCTTGTCAGGCGAAGAGAAACAGAAGGACGAACTACGCTCTGCTACTTTTACCAAAATATCAACTGCTAACCTGAACAACGCTTTCCTACTGTCTTCGAAATATTCACTGCTAACCTCTGGATTCTATACTCAAAGACGACCGTCATCATGAACAACACGTACGATGAACAAAGAATGGGAAGTTGTCGCCTATATCCTGAAAGGACAACGCTTATATGATAGACCTCTCTTTACCTCCCATCAACATGGCTGATGGTAACCTCCAGGAAATTGACTTGTTGCGCCTACTCGGGCTAACATTCTCCGTTGGCGTAACGGGAAAAGACTGAATCGATTGTTAGGTCTATTGCTAAGAAAGTTGGTGCACTGTTTAATGCAAAACATTTTTTCTCTCCGGAATCTATCTTACATATCTATAAGTTTACCATTTGCCTATGCTTTGAATATTGCTCCTGTTATATAGTTAGAGATTCTTGATAAAATCAAAAAGAGAATCAGTAATATTATTGGTCCTGGTGTCTCGGCGTCAGTCACTTTCCCACTGCCGTAATGTAGCTTCCTGTGATTTTCTACAAATAGTTTCATGGTAATTGTTTTGATGAACTCTACGCTATTGTACCTAGACTTCATAAATTTAAGCGCAGTACTAGATTGGAAATAAGGTTTTATCAATTTACCGTTGAACTGGCTAGACTTAACCGTAAGTTCTGTGATAACGGGTTCTCTTCTTGCACTTCTTGCTTGAGGAACTCTCTCCTGACTTCTTGCTTCCTGGTCAACTTTAATCTTCAAAAACTGAAATGTAATGTCAATCGTTATTTTCTGTCTTCTTAATTCCTGTTTTTTTTTTGTTTGTTTTTTTTTTTGTTTACTTTCATTAACAATGTTTTTTTTTCTCCTATTCTCTCATATCCAGTAACATTTTGCATCTTAGGGGCTTTATTGTCTTGTTTGGGGGTGAAATGGTTTATAAAAGTCAGTACTGAAGATCTCTCTTACTGATCCACATGAATTTCATTGTTTCTTTTTCTATAACTTATTTTTTTTTATTCCGATAATTACATGTTTCCAAATAATTATTGTAATTTTTCTTTACCCAAGAAATATCCGGCTCCGCGCTATCCTGTACAACTTTTATCTTCAAAAATTCAAATGCAATTTCAATCATTTCTGTCTTCTTGATTACTAATCTATTCTTCACGCTCCTTCATAATGTTTCTGTTTTTCTTATTCTTTGACATTTAGTGTCTTAGTGGCTTTACTGCCTTTTTGCTGTGAAACGTATATATATATATATATATATATATATATATATATATATTGTTATGGCCCAAGTTCCTTGTACCACGGTGATGGTCCAAGGTAGAACCAATGAAAGAATAACACGAACACAGGTATGGAATACAAAGATATATTACAACAGAAATATAATACAAAGAAGTAGAAGTATTAGTAATGACTATCAGATTTGGTTAGTATGAACTATGTTGTCTCGACAATTATCACTATTCCAATGTCCTTACAATATACTCTCAATGATCTCTCCTCGTCTTACATCCTCATACCTCTTGAGAGGTGCAGTATTTATAATGTCAGGAATAGTCCATTATTATTATGGTTAAGTTCCCATAATATATATATATATATATATATATATATATATATATATATATATATATATATATATATATATATACTAACCTCCTTCTCAGTCGCAGACTAACATTCAGGACTGACATGAAATGGAAAGATTATAATAAATCTACTGTTAGATCAGCTGCTAAGAAATTTGGTTCATTGTGCCATGCTAGACTATTTTTATCTCCAGAATATATCTTACATTTCTATATCCATACTTTGAATATTGCTGCCGCATATGGTCCAATGCTCATGCTATATATTTAGAGATTCTTGATGAAATCCAAAGAAGAATCAGTAATATTATTGGTTCTGACCTGGCATCTCGGCTTCAGTTCCCACTGTCATAATGTTACTTCCCTGTGCCTTTTCTATAAATACTTTCAAGGTATTTTGTTTGGGTGATCTCTTCATGATTATATCTAGGTTTTATTAATTTAAGCACAGTACTAGATTGGTCATAAGGACTCATTAATTCACAGATCATTTGGTTTGATGTAACCAAATGTTCTATGCTAACAGTTTCTCTTCTAGTACTTCTCATTTAGGGAATTCTCATCAGGCTAAATGCTTTCCTGCCAACTTTTATCTTCAAATATTCAAATCCAATTTCAACCATTATCTCATGACTTCTTGATTATTCTTCTATTCTTCTCACTCCTTAATAATTTTTCTCTTTTTCTTATTCTTTCATACTCCATAACCCCTTGTGTCTTAGTGGCTTTAGTGTCTTGAATGAGGTGAAATGTTTTTAAAAAAAGAAGAATGGATTACCTCTAATAAAATAACTTATTCTGTGATTCCTACACTCGAGTACGGGTGGAAATCTATGAACCAAATAAAGTTTAAGTACAGCAATAAAGGCGATAAGCGATAGACATTATCGATAATAAAACGTCAGTGGTTAACATTACTTTGTGAGCAGCCAACAAAAATAGGCTTCCCTTTAAAGACAAAAAAAGGGGGAAAATTTGAAGGGATTAAAATGAATAAAACTTGAGAAAAGGACACATGCGAAGAAAATGGAAAGGTGAGAAGAAAACATGATAAAACCTTGAAAGATTCATGGTGTGCGTGGTTTCACATATGAACGGTAAGAAGTGAAAAAAGTAAAGAAGACTTAACTGAATGAAGAGGAAAGGAAAGGAAACGGGCAAAGATTATAAAAAGGAAAAGTAGGAAGAAAAGAAAAAATAATTGGGAGAAGAAAGAAAGAAAGAAAGAAAGAAAGAAAGAAAGAAAGAAAGAAAGAAAGAAAGAAAGAAAGAAGATAGTGGGGTAAAGAACGTAGTAAAAGTAAATAGAAAAGAGTGAGTAACGAGAGGAGAGGCAAGAAAAGGAGTCGATGAAATAGAAAGAAAGAAAGAATGAAAGAAAGAAAGAAAGAAAGAAAGAAAGAAAGAAAGAAAGAAAGAAAGAAAGAAAGAACTAAAAGTGAAGAATGGATGAAAAAGACTATAAATAGGATAAGAAGTAAAAAGAAAGAAAATGAAAGAAAGAAAGAAAAGAAAGAAAGAAAGAAAGAAAGAAAGAAAGAAAGAAAGGAAAAGAATCGAAGAAAGAGTAAACAAGACCATAAAGAAAGAAAGAAAGAAGAAAGAAAGAAAGAAAGAAAGAAAGAAAGAAAGAAGATAGTGGGGTAAAGAACGTAGTAAAAGTAAATAGAAAAGAGTGAGTAACGAAAGGAGAGGCAAGAAAAGGAATCGATGAAATAGAAAGAAAGAAAAAAGAATGAATGAATGGTTGAAATAAAGAAGAAGGGAAAAGAAATAAAGACAAATTTAAAAGTGATAAAAAAACAAAAAGAATAATATGAAAAGTGTATTAAAAAGTGTGTTAGAAAATAGAAATCACATATTCAGCTTTTTAGTTATTTTGAATGAAGCAAACAATTAAAAACATAGGAAAGTAAGAATATCGGAAAAAAGAAAAGAATGAAAGAGGAAAATATTTATTTAAAGGAGCAAAATACAAAAGCCGAAAGGAGTTAACGAAAAATAAAAAAAAAAGAATGAAACAAATAAATCGATGTTTGGGTAAAGAAAGAAAGAAAGAAAGAAAAAAGAAAGAAAGAAAGAAAGAAAGAAAGAAAGAAAAAAGAACTACTTTAAAGTAGAAAAAAGTTAATTAAAAAAAAAGGTAATTGTATAAACATCAATTTATAACAGAGAAACGAATTAGGGAAAGGTAAAAATGTAAAAGAAAGAAAGAAAGGACAAAAAGTGAAGTATGGATGAAAAAGACTATAAATAGGATAAGAAGTCAAAAGAAAGAAAGAAAGAAAGAAAGAAAGAAAGAAAGAAAGAAAGGAAAAGAATCGAAGAAAGAGTAAACAAGACCATAAAGAAAGAAAGAAAGAAAGAAAGAAAGAAGATAGTGGGGTAAAGAACGTAGTAAAAGTAAATAGAAAAAGAGGAGTAACGAAAGGAGAGGCAAAAAAGGAGTCGATGAAATAGAAAGAAAGAAAGAAAGAAAGAAAAAAAGAAAGAAAAAAAACTAAAAGTGAAGAATGGATGAAAAAAGACTATAAATAGGATAAGAAGTAAAAAGAAAGAAAATGAAAGAAAAGAAAGAAAGAAAGAAAGAAAGAAAGAAAGAAAGAAGAAAGGAAAAGAATCGAAGAAAGAGTAAACAAGACCATAAAGAAAGAAAGAAAGAAAGAAAGAAAGAAAGAAAGAAAGAAAGAAAGAAAGAAAGAAAGAAAGAAAGAAAGGAGATAGTGGGGTAAAGAATGTAGTAAAAGTAAATAGAAAAGAGTGAGTAACGAAAGGAGAGGCAAGAAAAGGAGTCGATGAAATAGAAAGAAAGAAAGAAAGAAAGAAAGAAAGAAAGAAAGAAAGAAAGAAAGAAAGAAACAGAAAAACAATAAAACCATGAATTTAAAAGAGAAAAGAATTATGGGAAATTGTAAATTTAAAAGAAAGAGAAATGGACATGGAATAGGAAATAGAGAGAGAGACACAGAGAGAGAGAGAGAGAGACAGAGAGAGAGAGGGGGGGGAAGTAAAGAAGGCAAACTTCAATAGAATAATACCATGGAAGGAAATACAATATTCTGGATCGCGTACACCGTTATTCTAGTAGACCAGAGGATTGATATGAATGAAAGTGAAATATAAATGAGTATATCAACCTTGTTGGGGAAGCTTGGCAACACAAAGTTGACAGTTGTGACAGTCGTTATGGGAGTACTAGTAACGGTCCCCAATAACCGGAAGAAAATTCGAGAATAAATGGAAGTTAGGACAAAAGTTAGAACCAACCAAACGACGACATTATGGAAATCTGAGAGCATATCAAAAAGAAAAAAAGGACAACGACGAGGAGGAGGAGGAGGAGGAGAAGGAGGAAGAAGAAGAGAAGAAGGAGCAAGAGGAGAAGTATAGATAAACGGAAGGAGGAAGACGCAGACCAGGAGGTGGGGATGAAGGATTGAGAGGAGGGTCAGTAGAAGGAAGAGGAGGATAATAGGAACGAGGGAGAGGAGGACAGAAGAAGGAGGAGGAAGAGAAGAAGGAGCAAGAGAAGTATAGATAAACGGAAGAAGGAGAACGCTGATTAGGAGGCGGAGAGGAAGGATCAGTAGAAGAAAGAGGAGGATAATGGGAACGAGGGAGAGGAGGACAGAAGAAGGAGGAGGAAGAGAAGGATAAAGGGAAAGAGGAGGAGAAAGAAGAAGAAGAAGAAGAAGAAGAAAAGGACGAGACGGAGGAGAAGAAGTATAGAGAGAACTAAAAGAAGAAGAAGAACAACAACAACAACAAATAGGAGAATAATAGGAAGGAGGAGGAGTGGAAGGAGGAGGAGAAGAAGGAGAGGAAGACGGAGGGGGAGGAGGAGGTTTTTGAAGAAAAACAAGAAGAACACAAAAAAAAAAAACAAGTAAAAAAGGGAAAAGTAGCAAAATCGAAAACACCCGTCGCATCACGATTCTCTATGGATGGGAACATTCGATAGGAGACAAAGGGAATCTCAATAAAGCAAATCAGTTTGTTTATGTTCAGTGCAGGTGCAATATTTGCAAGAAAAGTGATATATTATTCTGCAACCACATTTTTCCTATTCACACCTATGTATGCCCAAAAAAATAATAATGTATATAAGCACAACTTCAATATATATATATATATATATATATATATATATATATATATATGTATGTATGTAGTGGGTGTTTTGAGGTGGTGTCACGGTTATCAACAAGAGAAAATGTGATCTGCTAACAGATGTTCAACTGGGGTGGAGCTTGTATGTGAGGCATGAATCTGATCCTCCCTGTCTTCTCTAACATCGCCAGACATTTTTGACGAGATAGATTATCAGAGATGTACTAAATATGGCGAAGGTAAATGGGTATTTGAGCAAACCGCTCCTCCATGAATATCCATAGACAAATAAGAAAATGTAACCATTGCTAATCTTGACAGGTGCCAGACACAAATGTTTCCAACTATTCCACCCCTTCCCCCTCTCTTTCTTTACACACACACACACATATATATATATATATATATATATATATATATATATATATTTATATATATATATATATATATATATATATATATATATATATAAAAGTATATGATTGGTGTATATGGAATGAATTCCAATAACCAACAAATACTATTCTTAAAAGAGTGCTCAATACAAAGTAGAGCAGATATAATTATATATATATATAATAATTATATATATATATATATATATATATATATAGATAGATAGATAGATAGATAGATATAGATATAGATATAGATAAACGAATATAATGAGAACGAAAATAATATATAAATTTTAACGTTCACAGCATTAATCCAAAAGCGGGTTCAATACTGAGAGTAGAGAAATAATAATTTATGATAATTTTTTCATATAGACAAAAAAATAATTACTTGCTGCAAAGATGCAACTTTGTTTCGGTGCGTTTAGTTTACAGACAAAATTGTTCATAACCATTTATATAACCAGCTTACAAACAGAAATATTTATAAACATTTCTGGTTCACACCAGTCGAGGTGCAACTAAATGTACTGAAACAAAGCTGCATCTTTGTAGTGAGTAAATTGTTTTTGTCTACAAATAATATATATGTGTGTGTGTACGTGTGTGCGTGTGTTTACATGTGTGTGTATTATTATTGTCCACTACGAGGCCCAAGATTCATTCAAAGTAGAGTGTTACTAAATAAAGACTTTTGCATGAATGGAAGAGGAGGAGGTAAGAATTAGAAAGATAAAAGTTTACTCGAGACTGTAGTGATCGGTGTAACAATCTCTCTGGAAACTCTTCCACACAGTCGCTGTCCTTGGGAAGAATCTGCCCGAATGGAACTTCCTTCTTACTAATGGAATACAAAGGGAATAGGGATGATTCAAGGTGGGATTTACATATGAGATTCCGAATTGTTGACTGTAATGGACTACACACACACATATATATTCCAGTCGAGTTAGAATTTATACCCTTAGGAAAAATATGAATCCGACACTTCTCCCCCACTCAACTGTGGGTAAATAGTAGGATATATTGTCTTCTATATCACTGGGTGGCAACCGGTCTAAGTGAATTCAAAAATGTATGTAGTCCTGGCGAAGCACAGGCTATGCAGCTAAAGAAAATGATCGTTCGCATTAACTCGATGATCCTGACTACAGTCGACTCTTCTATGTACATATATATATATATATATGTGTGAAAAATGGAAATATACACAGGCTAATTTTTAATTTTTTTAAATTAATAAAAAGATCAATGAAATACAGTAAATTAACCTTAGTTAATATATATATATATATATATATATATATATATATATATATATATATATATATATATATATAGAGTTAGTTTAAATGCCACCCAACTGGGTTTTTAAGTAGTACATATAGATAGATAGATAGATAGATAGATAGATAGATAGATAGATAGATAGATATTGAAATCTGGTGCATCTTGAAGGTTAACTTAGAGTATTTCATTGATCTATCTATCTATCTATCTATCTATCTATCTATCTATATATATATTGAAAACATGGTGCATCTTGAAGATTAACTTAGAGTATTTCATTGATATATATATATATATATATATATATATATATATATATATATATATATATATATATAGATATAAAAAAAGCTGCCCAGTTGGGTGGTATTTAAACTTGGTCCTGCGGAGGGCACTTGATTGTGTCTTCATCACAATGGTTAAAGAGGAGTAGATTCGATAGCAACAATAAACTACAGAACACAAAATTGATCGCTGTATTTAAATAATACATTAATATTTAAGCTTACGTTTTAAAAGTTCAACATTAATTATTCTACCGCCACTTAGTTTAAAGACAAGTTGATGTACGTAGGTCCCTACTTCCGAACAAATAATTATTTTTATTTCATGAGTGACTTTCGCTGGATCTCAAAAATAATTAATTCTAAATTTATTTGGAAGTTATACAAATTGTTATCGTACAAAAAAAATTCGTTGCTAAAAAATCACCTAAAAAAATTCACTGAAAACAATCGCAGTAATGAAAACGTGGGAATCCATAATTTTAAGATTGCATTCCGGTTCTGAATATTTTTAATTTGCTCACGGAGTCGGCCTGATTCCAAAATGGTATGATGATATGTTGGGCTACGGCCTCTAGAAGTAAAGTTGAAAAGACGGACAATTTTATTTTGAAACATTGTAATTTGAGAACAGAATTTTTTTTTATTTGAACATGAGCTATTGAAAGTTAGAAAGTTGTGTCTCTAATTGTTTTTACCAGCAGAAGCCAATATGACGGAATCCGAAAACAATTGCGGTAATGAAAAATTGTGAATCCGAAATTTCAGGATTGCGTGTCGGGATCTATCCTGGAATGATTTTAACTTGCACACGGACTCGGCCTGATGCCAAAATGATATGATATACTTTGCCACGCCCTATGAGACTAAAGTTGAAAAAGAATGACACAGTGACACATTGACATTCGCATTTCATATATATATATATATATATATATATATATATATATATAGGCCGTAGCAAAGTATATCATACCATTTTGGCATCAAGAAATATAGTTTTAAGGCGTGCCGTATTCATGGGAAAAAGTACTCAATGTCAGAGATAAAGCGTATGTAAATATGAATATAAAAGTGAACACCGAAGTCAACACTCAGAGGCGAGAGGCTGTTTCATGCACGACGCCATCGTCAAGCCGCGTATGTTGGATTTTTCCTCGACTATTTAAATATATGTGTCAATGGTGCATTGTGGGTAATCTATTCTGGCGGTTATTTTAAGCTGCCTAAGCAAATCCCTCAGCATTGTTTTTGCTATATTAATAAAACATCAAAAACCGAAAAGAATAAATAATACAAAATGAAAATGAAAAACAAATAAAATAAATTAACCCCTCCCCCGCCCCCAAAAATAAAAAATAAACAAACAAGCCACTCCCACAAAAATCACCGCCAGAATAGATTACCCGCAATGCCCCACTGACCCTTATATATAAATAGTCGAGGAAAAATCCAATATTTGCGGCCTGACGATTGCGTCTTGCATGAAACAGCTTGTCGCCTCTGAGTGTTGACTTAAATGGTCATTTTTGTATATATATATATATATATATATATATATATATATATATATATATATATATACATATCGAGAAAGAGAGAGACAGATGATGGAGAGAGAGAGTAGGATTTGAAATACAGTGAACAATTTCCAGCATGCACAATGAAAACTCACGCATCCAAATAGTTATTATTTATGTACGATGTCCCATCATGATTCAGGCAATCATGGCCCTTGTCGCTTTAAACAACGTCTGACTCTTTAAAATCTCTGCTTGTCCCTGATCCGCCATCATTTCACAAAGACTCATTATTTATGTCACTTGCTAATTACCTCCAACCCTGGCTCTTTCAATGTATCACAATATATCATTTTTGCAAATCTTTGACAGAAAGAGGATTACGGCCACATCACAGTTTCCGTTCGATTACCGGGGCTGAGTTGGATCAGTAAAAGTAGGAATCCACCTTTTCTCTCCGCAGATATGAATTATTTAGTAAGACTAAGAAAGATTATTATTATTATTATTATTATTTATATTATTTATATCGTTCTGACTGTTGTCCTTATCTCTATGTCTCACGATGTTTTGGATTTTGTGCGCTCCGGCATTCTTCAGGTGAGTGGAATTGTCCAATCCCTTAAAAAAGGCTGGAGCGTACAACGGCCGAAATGTCGTGAATATGGCAATAAAGATGAAAACAACAGTTCAAACCACGTAAATAATGTTAATAATTACAATACCTTATCTCAGAAAATGTAGACAGATAAAGCATTATTATCTAAGAACAAATTAAATTCTTACAATCTAAGAATATTTTCTGGCTTTAAACAACCTGCAAATGGTTGATAAGCTGTAAAAATCGAATCACTCAAGCGATTTGACAGAAAGATTTACAGCTTTGTTCATTTGGCATATAGTTATATTTTGTTTCTTATTTATTTTTTATTTACATCTGATTTTTTTATTCAGAATGTGCATTTAGATATTCGAAGCATTGGCGAATGGGAGACTTATAGAGAGATTAATTGATACTAGCAGTATAACCCGTCTTCGAACGGGTTTTTCATTACTGGGAATTTTTTTCCGTTCAATTGGAGCAGTTTAAGTTTAAAGTCAACCCACCCGAAAATCAATATTGGTAACAACATTTGGGTGCAACTGAGGAACATCCCCAAATAAGGGTTACCAATTTGAAAAGATTTCGATGAATTTCAGTTCCTGACACATCTTCTGATCAGAGAAATCAGATCATTGCTCGTTGTTCTTCTTTCGGAACGCACACTGCTAGCCTAGCGGCCATGTTTTCGCTGTAAGAGCAGCAACAAAACAGGCGAGACCAATTTCAAATTTCGATCACGTGAACTCAGTAGAACGAACTATAAGCACGCACGAGCAGAAGGTAAGGTGACAAATCTAGAGATATGTTATGGTGAAAGTGCCGATAGATTTTGATTTACCCTAGTGTATATATATGGATACGTATATATATATATATATATATATATATATATATATATATATTTGGTTGGATAGATGTGAGTTTGTGACCCTGGGTTTCACGCTTTAGCGATCGTCAGACAAACTGATTAATGTTTTAAAAAATTTGGGTTTATGTAGATTGCGTGTATTGGTGTTATTGTGGAAGTGGTGGGGGAAATTTCGTCGTTTTGTCATTCATCGTACTAACGCAAACATTGATATATGCAGACACATATACATACTTGGTCGTCCGTCGTGACTCATACATATATAAACGTATGTGGGCAGTTTCGGCTATGACACATGTATGTATACGGGTGGTGTTATGTCTATACATACGCATTTGTATGTTGAAATGTTGAAATTTAAACATTGGAAGTGTGGCGGAAATGTCTCGTTAATGTCTCGTGAATGTATCCATGTCATATTATGTATTTTTTTTTTTTTTTTTCGCTGAAAAATATTTCCTCGCATGTATGTATATACGTGTGGTGGGGTTTGTGTAAAATTATGATAGGTAAAAATTATAATTATTATTATTTATATTTATTTTTAAATTTTTGAAAAAAATGGGGGTTTATTTGTTATATTTAAAGCTGGTTATTTGTTTGTTTTTGGTGACTGTGTATATGTAACAGGTAAAAATTTGTAATCCTTATTGTTTAATTTATATGGTGATGTTTAATATACTGGGTGAGAGGGTGGTTCAATTTAATAACGGGTCTATATGATATGATGTGATAGTAATGTTTCAAGGGATTGGAGACAATGATATTTAGCTAATAGTTATTGTAAATTGGAAGAAATTGCAAATTGGTAGAAATGATTAGTAACGGTGGTGGGAGAATGATAAAACCATGAATGTAGTTATAGTGGTGGTAGCTTGAACTAAAAAGTGGTTGTTGGTGTTTTATTTTATTTTTGTTTTATTTTGTTATATGTATTAATCTACGCAATCTACATAACCCCAATTTTTTTAAAACATTAATCAGTTTGTCTGACGATCGCTAAAGCGTGAAACCCAGGGTCACAAACTCACATCTATCCAACCAAATATGTTAGCTCTATCTCTGATATTGAGCGCTTTCTAATAAGTACCGCGCATATAATATATAAATAATTATACATATTTATTTATACTTTTCACATATATATATATATATATATATATTTATGAAATGGACAAATCCGACAATCATTTTTTAGACATGCCCTGTTTATAATTCACCGGCCTAAATGACCGAAAAATTTTCAGAGAAAATATGCGTCCTCCGACAGGAATCGAACCTGTCTCCTATAAGGAACCGTCATATAGTCTGACGTGCTTTTACCGATTGAGCCACAGAGGAGCGTTCCGGTCAGCAAAGTCGATTTTATTGTTTTTAAACTACAATTCTCCATGATTTTCTCTCGTACATTCATATCTGCTCGATACGTATCCAAATGAAACAAATGACGTCACACATTATGAAAAGTCCGACAATTATTTTAAGACACTTTTTTTAATTTCTCGGACATTCAGGCCGGTAAATGTCGTTAATACTGTTTATTATAAACAGACCATTGACTTAAATATTTGTAGAACGTATAAATATAAAAAATCTCTTAATATATATATATATATATATATATATATATATATATATATAGATAGAGAGAGAGAGAGAGAGAGAGAGAGAGAGAGAGATAAAGAACAAGAGGAAAATTTATTCCATTTATTAGCCTGAAAAGTTCATGAGACCGGAATCACGTGTAGCGGAAATATGAAGAATAAAATATAATATATATGCTAAAAACAAATACACATTATAAACAAAAAACGTTTGCGTTTTCTTTTTTTTTAATATATATATATATATATATATATATATATAATAAATATTTTGTTGGATA